AAGAATCTTACATCCCACAAAATTAAGCTTTAGATTTGATGATGAAATAAAAATTTTTCATGATAAACAAAAGTTAAAAGAATTTACAGCCAGAAAGCCTGCACTACAGAACATCCTCAGCAAAATATTCCATGAAGAGTAAATGAAAAAGAACAATGAAAACCAGCAGAGGGAGGTATTACACTAAATGAAAAACTAAAAGATAAACCAAATCAATTTCAATACAAAAAATAAACAAAAATGGTTGGGAATACAAATCATATCTCAATAATAACCCTGAGTATTAATGTCCTAACTTAGACTGGCAGATTGAATTTTTCTTTTTTAAAAAAAGACCCAACAATATGGTGCCTCATATTGTTGGACACTCATCCCATAGGAAAAGACATCCACTGATGTCTGAAGGTAAAGGGTTGGGAAAAATTATACCACTCACATAGACTGTGGAAGCAAGCAGGCTTTCCATCCTCATATCAAATAAATCAAACTAATGCTAATTAAAAGAGAAAAAGAAGGACACTACATTCTGTTCAAGGGAACCACACACCAACAAGACTTACAATTGTAAGTATATATCCCGCAAACAACGGAACATGTACAGCCGAGTTCTACAAGATCTTTAAAAAAGAACTAATACCAATACTCTTCAATTTATTTCAGAAAATAGAAAATGAGATAGCACTTCCAAACTCATTCTATGAGGCCAATATCACCCTGAATCCAAAACCAGGCAAAGACATATCAAAGAAGTAAAACTTCAGACCAATATCTCTAATGAACATAGATGTAAAAATTCTCAATAAAATTCTGGCAAATTGAATACAAACACAAATCAAAAAGATTGTGCAGCAATCAAGTGGGCTTCATCCCAGGAATACAAGGTTGGTTCAACATATGGAAATCAATAAATGTAATTCATCACATAAATAGACTTAAAGACAAAAATCACATGATCATCTCAATAGATGCAGAAAAAGCATTTGACAAAATACAGCACCCTTTCACGTTCAAAACACTAGAAAAACTAGGGAGAGTAGAAACATACCTCAACATTGTAAAAGCTATGATGGCCCAAGGCCATCATTCTAAATGGAGAAAAATTGAAGGCATTCCCCCTACACCTGGAACAAGACAGGAATGTCCTCTTTAACCACTTCTATTTAACATAATTCTTGAAACACTGGCCAGAGCAATTAGACAGACGAAAGAAATTAAAGGAATACCCATAGGAAAAGAAGAACTCAAATTGGCACTATTTGCTGATGATATGATTCTATACCTAGAAGACCCTAAAAGTTCCATCAGAAAACTTCTAGAACTAGTAAATGAATTCAGCAAAGTAGCAGGATATAAAATCAACACCCATAAATCAAACACATTTCTATATGTCAGTGACAAATCCTCAGAAAGGAAAACAACCCCATTTACAATAGCCTCAAACAACATCAAAAACAAACAAAAAAAAACCCCTTAGGAATCAACAAAAGAGGTGAAAGATCTATATGATGAATACTACAGAACCCTAAAGAAAGAAATCAAAGAAGGCCTTGGAAGATGGAAAGATCTACCTTGCTCTTGGATAGGCAGAATTAATATTATCAAAATGACCATACTACAAAAAGCACTATATAGATTTAATGCAATACCAATAAAAATCCCAATGACATTCCTCATAGAAGTAGAAAAAGCAGTCATGAAATTTATCTGAAAAAATAAGAGACCTAGAATAATAGCTAAAGCAATTCTTAGAAGGAAGAGTGAAGCAGCTAGCATTACTATACCAGACCTTAAATTATACTACAGAGTAATAATAGCAAAAACAGCATGGTATTGGCACCAAAACAGACTGATAGACTAATGGAACAGAATAGTGGACACAGAAACTAACTCACAAAATTACAATTATCTTATATTAGACAAAGGTACCAAAAACATGCATTAGAGAAAAGATAGCCTCTTCAACATATGGTGCTGGGAAAACTGGAAATCCATATGCAACAAAACAAGATTAAACTTCTATCTCTCACCATGCATAAAACTCAACTCAAAATGAATCAAGGACTTAAGAATAAAACCAGAGACCCTGCATCTAATAGAAGAAAAAATAGGCCCTAATCTCCATCATGTGTGATTAGGCCCCAGTGCCAAAAGTGTCCTTAATAAGACACTTTCAGCACTGAAAGAGAAATCAGAAAAACTATCCCATTTACAATGGCCTAAAACAAACAGACAAACAAATAAACAAAATCCAACTTGGGAATCAATCTAACAAAACAAGTGAAAGACTTCTACAATGAAAACTATAGAACACTAAAGAAATTGAAGAAGACCTTAGACGATGGAATGATCTTTCATGTTCTTGGATGGGCAGAATTAGTATTGTCAAAATGGCCATACTACCAAAAGTACTATACAGATTTAATCAATTCTTATTAAAATTCCAATGATGTTCTTTATAGAAATAGAAAAAGTAGTCATGAAATTCATTTGGAAAAATAAGAGGCCCAGAATTACATATTGAGATCAATTCAAGGACTTGAAAAGATTCAGGGAGGAGGTGGGTGGGGTGGGGGAATGTGCAGAAAACTGGAGTGATAAAAATTTGAGATTAAAATCAGATTCTTAAGGAGAAAGACAACTCAAAGTGTAAAACTCTGTAAAGAGTTCAGACAGATTATAATGATAATATGGAGAGAAACCAAGAAGTCAAAGTCAGACTCAGGGAGGCAATTTTTGAAAGGCAATGTTTTTTAGAAAGAGGAAGATAAAAAGAGTGAACAGGGAGACTGCAGGTAAGTGAAAGGAAGTCCAGGAGAAATTTTAAAGATTGTGGAAGGCAAAAGGATTTTAAAGAAAGCATGATTATATTTCTCTAGAACCATATCCAAAAAGCAAAATTTGCCACTTTATAAAAAGAAAAATTTTTTTTTCTTAAAAGTCTTGTCAGCCCTTCCAAACTGCCAACTTTGTTTATCAAATGAGGGGACAGCAGTAGTCCCTGCACAACCTCAAGTGAAATCACTGCTGTGGTTTTGACCTGGAATGTCCCAAAGGCTCACGTGTTGAAGGTTTAGTCACCAGTGCAAGAATATTCAGAGGTAGGCCTTTTGGGAGGTGATTAGATTGTGAGGGCTCTGACCTCATTAGTGAATTAATCCATTGACAGAATCATAATATGATGATTTTTGGGGGGGAGGTGATGGAAACTATAGGAGGTAATGCCTAGTTGGAGGAAGTGGGCCACTACGGGTTGGGGTGTGACCCAGAAGATCATATCTTGTTTTTGGCCCCTTTCTTACTCTTTCTCTGCCTCTGGGCTGTCATGATGGGACCAGATTTCTCTGTCCTACCTTTCCACCATTATGTTTCTGCCTCACTATAGACCTACAAGCAATGCAGCGATCTATCCATGTCTTGAACCATGTGGCCAAATAAACCACTGCTCCTTTAAGATATTTTTCTCAGTATTTGGTCACAATAACAGACATAGTTTTGTCAGGAGAAAAAATGACAATAAGTTGTTAAAAAAATCATTCCTTCGAACAGCTATGAAAAAGAAACCTATAACAAACAAACAAATAATACCAGTCTGAATTAAATATACTAAACAAATATCAGGGGATTTAAAAAATAAGAAGCTAATCTTGAACCGGAAATTAATAAACTAATACAAGAAATGGATAAAACTGGAATGAAAAAGAGTTTTATGTATTCTGGGAAGAAACTAAACTATAGAGTCCCTCAAAGAAAAAATAAATACAATAAAATTTTAATAATAAAATTAAAAGAATAAAAACCTTACAGTGGTTTTGTTCTATAGAATATTGGTTTTGTTCTATAGAATGCTCAAGGGAAATATTCATACCCTGAAAAAATGAAGAGTCACTGGTTCTTGGCCCATATATTTGAAGAACAGTCATAATAATAAAGAAAAAAAATCTGTGACATTCTAAATGCAGTTAAGGGCCACAGGATGTATTATCACCAAGTGAGGCAGGCACCTTTAGGGTAAACTCTCACACTTATGATAGAAAAAGCTTCTGCCACTTTTAAGTACTATTAACACACTTTCAAAATTGTTCTTTTAATTTTTCAGTCAAAATTCTTTGGAGAAAAATATATGAGAAACTAATTAAGGTCACAGAGTCATTCAACCTCATTCTTATATATGATTTAGAGTAAACTTTGCTCATTTGTGTCTTTTTTGAACATGTAGTCTCTGACCTTAAACTGAGCATGCCCAGAAATATGTCTATCATCTGTCCGTTATGAACATGATCTGTGACCTTCAATTGAGGATGCTCAGAAATGTATGCTTTATATTGGGCATAATCAGGGATGTGCCTATTCCTACATGTGTTTTCCCATATGCATATACGTTGAATCCCCAAGAACATCCCGGCGGTGCTTTCTTTGTTCAGGAAGAACATTGATTTGCAAATAACCCCAGTGCTCTCCTAACTTGTCATAAGTAATAAAATTTTCTCCATTCTTTTATACTCTGTTCATGCTCATTGGCTTTGTCTTCACCAAGGGGAGATTCCATTGCATCTGTGTATAGATGGAGGTGGGAGGATATGATGTAAGTTAATCAGTTCACAGCAGCGGGTAAAATTAATAAAAGAACTGTTTTCCCTTTCTGAATGTATGTTAAAACCTTGACCGAAGTCCTAATGTGGTCAATCATCAGGGCCACCATGCTCTGTTTATGTATAAACCTTTTGAACTAATAATCTCATCTAATCCAGTAGAAACAAGCACTGTAACAGAAAATTAGCAGCTGCTTTATATAAAAGTCCTGACTCTTCACTTGGGCCTGCAGTTGTCCTATGAGTAGATAAAAGCAGAATAAATATTGGCATCTCATTGTGTATTTGTCTCCTTTATTATCTTCATGTAAATATAAGCTCTGTTAGTCCTAAATTTACCTAAACTATCATGACCACTTCAAGTCTGAGAACACCACAATAAGAGTAACTCAGGTATTTTTAACATTTTCAGGAACATTCAACTGCCAAGCTTGTTCCATGTCCTGTTCCAGACTTTCTGGAGCAGAGCCTACAAGTCTCCATCATTGCCTTAGACCTTCTAGGAACATCAGAATCTGGCAGGCAGATGACCCCATGGTGAGACTTCCCACTTAAGTAAGAATAATTAATACAGGGGAATGCCGCAGTCCGGCTACAGCAAAATAACCGGGGGTGGGGGTAGAGGGGGTGTCGAACAACTTGTGTACATTGATACAGCAGGAGTGGGAGCCGTTTATTGTAGGACAGGAGGGGTATATATACATTACACACAGCTTATCTTACTTAACATAAACTAGATACAACAGTCAACCAATAAGAAATCTCCACATTTAATGGCTCACTGGAGTTACTTCACAAACCAATCCCTCTGGCAAAATGCCAGGTGCCATCTTGACTTGTTTACAGACCCTAACAGGGTCTGTAAATTGACCCTTTCCAGGATCACAGGTCTGATGGATAAACACCATGAGCAACAAATGGAGATTGTTTTCTCAAGTAATAAGGACTTCTCTGGAGCCACCTTGTAGAATTAGAACTGCGATCAAAATCAACTAAAACTGTTTTATTATGTATGTTCTTACCCCTTTCCCATTTCTTTCTCTATTTAAACATGTTATTTCTCCAAAGACAGGGTTAAGATACATGATTTCATTTTTTTTTAATCAGTATGGCCATATTGGTTAAAATTCTTTTTCTGCTTTACACCATTACTTTTTCTGTTTGGTTTTAGGGGCAAGTGTCTGGGCCTGAGTTGTTGTGATTGTCACTGGAGCAGTATCTGAAGATGTACATAGAGGGGAAACTGAATTCAGGATTAGTGGGTTTCTTGCAAAATATCACTGAAAAGAACTTAAAGACATGTCAGATACAGGAACCAGCAAAGATTTATTTGGGAAAGCTCTAAATAGTGAATGATAATACTGAAAAACAATCCAAGTCATGATGTGAGAATGGTAATACTTAATTATACAAATCTGAAAACTTCTTGATTTGTTTCCAGGGGGAAAAAATGCAAATACTGAACTCCAGTTACAAACAGATAATTGCCAATCTTCTCTTTACCTCTGACTGGGCCACATCTGCAGAGGATTTTCATTATTACGATCTGGGATTTCAAGGATCTGTTATGTCATTAACTGTCCCCATTCAATTCTCTGAATAAATTCTGCTCACATACTGTTCACAGCTCTTATTTTGTTGTGCAAATGGTATGGTCATCTGCTTCAAACTTTAAAAAGCATCAGAAAGAACATTGGTCCTACGTGGCTCTCTGAATTTGGTCAGGGTCCATCTGGCATAATTTGTGAATGGATAGGCTTCCACATATTGGCTATAATACTTGTGAAAGCCAACCTGTAGATGATTTTACAATTTGCAGATGGGAAATCTGACTACTGCCACCTGTTCTTATCTACAGCAAAATTCTTATTAAATACTTGGGACTTAAAAAAAAATGTAATGGTTATTTGCTTTACTCTTCCTTTGTTTTTATACCAAGATAAATAATCACTAGCAAAGTGCCACAAGTATTCTCCCATTTATGTTTTTAATTAATGATATACAATTCAGCTATTTATTTGAAAAATAATTTCAGGAGAATACCAGCGAGATAGTTTCACTTCCTCACACACAAAAAATCTGTTAAAATATCCATAGGTAAGAATACCATCATGAATGTCTCAGAATAGTCAAGAAATGAGCCTGAGTCACCCCCTTGGACTACAGAACTAAGAAAAATTACGATCCATAGATAAGAGAAAAAGTTATCTTTGTTATTCAAGCTGGCACACAGACCCAGATTTCTACAATGGAAAAAATCAGTTGGAGGCATATATTCAGCTTCCAAACCATTCTGGGATTCCTTGCCACAGGTTCACTTCTGTCTCATCCTATGAGAAATGTAGAATGTACCAACAGGCCTACCATGCGGTTAGTTAGAAACACTGAATGTGGGACTAACAGTGGTTAACATATGGAACTTGGTAGTTGCTCTGCATTCTAGCTAACAGATGAATCATGCAAGAAAGACTTGATAACATTACACTTCAGGAAATATGGTTCACAAGTCTTTCAAACATAAATTCTTAGCCAGCTTCCCCACATAAGTTCTTATTAAGCCATTCCCAGGCCAATATGCAAATGTACTACCTGTGAAGGGAACATCTGGCTCCACTCAATCCCAGGTGGTGAGCTGGCATCCCAGCTGCCAAATCATGGTGCTCTGTGCAAGCCTACCAAAGTCCAGAGAGCACGTACAAGTCCATACATATCTTTAGAGCTTAACTTCAAGTTTTGCCTATTCTGTGAGGCCACGCAACAGTGCTAGGAATCTCATCTGTCCTTAGAGCCAACACAATGGACCTCCTGAACTACATATCCCAAACAACAGTACTTTCGAGTCAAGCAAAAGAGTTGGATTACAAAGCATAGCCAGCTATACCATTTAGAATCAGAGCCCAGGAAATGACCCACACTGACTAGAGGATTTGACACCAATGTGAATCTTTTTGGGTTTGTCCATAGCCAGTCCATCAAGAAGCCCAGGCTAGACAAAATAGTAAAGTTCATTATCAAAGTGTAATGGATACTTTCAAACTCATCTTACAAAGCTAGCATTAGCTTGAGACCAAAACCAGGCAAGGATATTACAAGAAAAGCAAATTACAGGTCAATATCCCTGCTAAATACAGATGTAAAAATCCTCAACAAAATATTAACAAATGAAATTTAAGAACACATTAAAATAACACTCATCACAATCAAGTGGGCTTTATCCCTGGGATGCAAAATGGTTCAATACATGAGAATCAATAAGTATGACATACCATATTATGGACAATAGAGAATAGAAATAATATGATAATCTTTAAAAGGGAAAATTTTTTTGAAAAAATTCAACACCTTTCATGATACAAGTTCTCCACAGATTAGATACAGCAGGAATGCACCTCAACATCATAGGTATAAAGTGAATATACTTCAACCCAATGAAGGTCATATATGACAATCCCATAGGTAGCATCTGGCTCCACTCAATAGTGAAAAGTTTAAAGCTTTTCCCCCAAAATCAGGAGATGGACTAGGATGCCAATTTTCACCACTTCTTTTCAGTATAGAACTGGAAATTCTAGCCAGAGCAATTAATTAAGAGAAAGAAATAAAAGGAATCTTAATAGGAAAGTATATATTCTCTTCTCACAGATAGTATGACCTAAAATACAGAAAACACTAAAGACACTATGAAAAATCTGTTAGAAATGATAAAGAAATTCAATAAACTAGCAAGATACAAATCAGCATATAAAAATTGATGGCATTCCTAGACACTAATAATGAACTTGCTATAAAGTAAGTTAAGGAAATAAACCCATTTACAATAGCAATAAAAAAATAAATACTTAGATGTAAATTTACTCATGGTGGCAAAACACACCTAGATAAAGAAAACTACAAAACATTTATGAAAGAAATTAAATAAACACAGATTAAATGTAAAGACATCCAAAGGTCATGGATTGGAAGAATTAATGTGAAAATAGCCATACTAACCAAAGTGATCTATAAATTCAATGCAATTTATAAAGTCCCAAAATTATTTTTTTTCAGAAGTAGGAAAATTAATCCTTATATTTGTATGGAAGCACAAAAGAACTCCAATAGCCAAAATAGACTGGAGCAGAAAGAACAAGCTGAACGCATCACACTCCCTGAATTCAAGACATATTATAAAGTGTACATAATCAAAACAGCAAGGTAGTGGCATAAAACCAGAGAAATAAAAAAATGAAACAGGATAGAAATAGTAAAGATTTTTCATTATCAAAGTATAATGGATACTTTCAAACCCAGAAATAAATGCAAATTTATGGTCAAGTGATATTTAACAAAAGTGCCAAGAACACAGAGTGGGGAAAAGACTATTTCTTTAATAATTGGTAGTAAGAAAACTCTTATTTACATGCAGAAGAAAAATGAAATTAGACCTATATGTTATATCATGTAAAAAATCTTAAAATGGTGCCAGGGGTGACGAACAATTGTTGTAGATTGATACAGCAGGAGAGGGAGCCGTTTATTGTAGGACAACAGAGCTATTTATACATTTTGCACAGCTTATCTTAATTAGCATAAACTAGATACATCAGTCAACCAATAAGGAATCTCCACACTTAATGGCTCGCTTTTGTTACTTCTCAAACCACTCCCTCTGGCATTTTGCCAGGCACCATCCAGACTTGTTTACGAACTCTAACATTCCCCTGGCAAAACACCACGTGTTATTTTTGACTTGTTTACAGACCTTAACAAATGGAATAAACACTTCAATATAAGACCTGTAATTGTAACTAGAAAAAAATTTTAAAAGTCCTGCATTGGTCTGGGCAAAGAGTTTCAAGATACAATCCAGAAAATATAGACAACTAAAGCAAAAATAGACAAATGGGATGACATTAAGCAAAGGATTTTTCATAGCAAACAATTAAAAAAGTGAAAAAACACACAGATTGGGAGAAAATATTTGTAAATCATACATCTGAGGAGTTAATATTCAAAGTCTATAAAGAAATCAACCCAATAGCAAGAAAACAAATAATCAGTTTGACAAACAGGCAACAGATTTAAAAGGACATTTCTAAAATGAAGTCATACAAATGACTAAGAAGCATATGAAAAAAATTCTTAGTATCACTAATCAACAGAGAAATGCAAATCACACATGAGATGTCACTTTACACCTGTTAATATAGCTTTCTCCAGTAGAAGAAAGATAACAAGTATTGGAAATGTTGCAGAAAAAAGAAAACTCACACTTCATTGATGGGGATATAAACTAGTATAACCATTATGGAAAAGGTATGGAGAGTCCTCAAAAAACTAAAAATGAAACTACCTGGTTATCTAATAATCTCATTTCTGGGTACATATTCATATTGAAATCAATGTATTGAAGGGAATCTGCATTCCCATGCTGATTATTAGAAGTTGTGACAATATGAAGTGTAATTGCCATCAAAAGATAAGTGAAAAAGAAATGTGACATTTATAATTAATAAAATATTATTCATTCTTTAAAGGGGAAGGGGCATCCTGTCATTGGAGAAAGGATGAATGTGAAGGACATTATGCTAAGTGAAATAAGCCAAGCACAGAAAGACAAATACTGTATGATCTCTTTAATAAGAGGAATTTCATCAAGTCAAACTCATAGAAATAAGAAAATGGTTAGCAGAGGCTGGGAGGTGAAGAATGAGGAATGGTGGGATGAAGAGTTGTTAATCAAATGGTAAAAAGGTCCAGATAGATAAAAAAGTAGTTCATTAGATCTATTCCACCCCATGATGATAATTATTAATAATAATTTAAAAGAGATTTCAAAATACCTGAGTAAATTTCAAAGGTTTCACCTTAAAAAATGATAGATAAATGAGATGGTGAATGTTTGAATCAGTGTGATTCAATAATTCCACATTGTGTACATATATCTAAGCATCATGTTGCATTCATCAGCACATATAGTTATGATTTATCATAAAATAATATTATCAATAAAATGTATTGAAAAATGTTGCAGCAGTGTCATCAGTTTATTTAAAAACCAATCAAAATTCAAAAAGACAATTGCACTTATAGAATTACCTTTGTTAATGTGAACTTAATTAAAAATTTTTGTTAGAACAATTGATATTATATTTTATTCAGGATAGTAATGAAGTTAATATTGTAATGGCAATTGAAATGTGAAAGTGTAATTTACTGAAAATTTGCCAAGACTGGTATGAATATAATTCTTTTAACACTTTTTCCTATATACACTAAAATGGGTTTCTAACTTATTTTTTAATAACTTAGAACACCAGATTTAAAATGTTATTGAAAAGCTTAATACATAAAAGAGATAAGAGCAAAACAATTGCCCAAGATCCTCTCCACTTCTACCACCCATTTCTTCTCTTATCTCCCTGCTATCTGGAGAGACCACCATGATATCCCTCACATTGAGTAGAATTGAGTTCCCATTAGTAGCATGAGATCAGGGCTAGAAATGGAAACTATTTCACCTTATCATATTCTGTCAATTAAGTGCAGTGTTTAAAGGTACATTCACAAATCACATTTTCAGTATCCTTCTTGAGTACTAGGAATATTCTGGGAACTATATAATCCCTGAAATAACACCT